ATCTGTCTGGATGTAGTTGAATGCAGATTTCAAAAGCTGGAATGCCTTATCAACAGTTTTAGCTCGACAATAAACAACTGTGTCATCAGCGTAGAAATGTATGGATGCATTAGGGATGTTTTTACCTACATTATGTATGTAGATTGTAAAGAGGGTGGGTCCTAAGACTAAGCCTTGTGGTACACCATTGTTGACTGTTAAATAACTGGAGGAAATACCATTATGTTGAACACATTGCCTCCGGTCTGAGAGATAGTTAGAGAACCAACCAATGGTGTGTTCTGAGAAACCGATTTCTGAGAGCTTATGACACAAGATGTTATGATCCACAGTGTCAAAAGCTTTAGACAGGTCTAAGAAAAGTGCAGCACAATAATCCTTAGCATCCAGTGCTTCAACAACATCATTAAGAACCTTCAGTGAAGCAGTGGTTGTGCTGTGTTGTTTCCTGAAACCAGATTGATGGGGAGGTAAGATGTTAAATGAGTCCAGGTAATTTTTGATTTGAAAGTTTATCAGTTTTTCTAGAACCTTGGCTAAAATGCAGAGTTTAGAGATTGGTCGATAGTTGTTCAGTGAGGTGGGGTCTCCTCCCTTCAGCAAAGGAAGAACAAAGGCTGTTTTCCAAGCATCTGGAATGGAGTTTTGGTTAATGGAGAGATTAAAGATGTGGGTCACAGGGACTGTGATGATATGAGCGGCCAGCCTTAAGATATAAGGTTCATCTGGACCTGCAGATTTTTAAGGATCAAGATCTTTTAACAGATTATTAACCTCACTAACTGAGAATGGACAAAAAGAGAAGGTGTGATTTACTGAGGGTTGACTTGCAGGAGGGATTTGATTCGTAGAAGTTTGATTATTAAGAGAAGTGGTTGATTTTTCATTAGTAACTGTGTCAAATAAAGAATTAGAAGCAACAAAATGTTTGTTGAAACAGTTCAGGATCTCGTGCTTATTTGACACAGGAACAGAGTTAATGAGAAGTTGTGATGGGAGGTCAAATGATTGGGGGTTGCCTGAAAGAGGTTTGATGGTTTTCCAGAATCTGTTAGGGTCATTAGATTTTTGGAGGTCTGAGATAAGAAATAGTTACGTTTTGCAGCTTTGATGGCAGTTGTACATTTATTCCTCATCTGTCAAAAACTCAACCAATCAGTGTCTGAGTCAGATTTTCTCACTGTGGCCCAAAGATGGTCTCTCCTGTGTAGGAGGTCAGCTAGCTCTGGAGTAAACCAGGGACTGTCTCATCACTTTATTCTGAACTGACGAAAAGGAGCATGTTTGTTCACAACATAAATGAAACTATTATGAAAATAGTTCCAAGCGAAGTTCACGTCATCAATTAATAGAATACGATGCCAGTCAAAGTGAGACAGATCCCAGAGGAATGACTGTTCACAAAAACATTTCAGATCCCTTTTTTGAATTAATCTGGGCTTAGAAGGTGTAAGTTTAATATCTCTCAGAGTCGCTGTCACACAATGATCACTCAAAATGTTAGCAAATACACCTGTACCAGGGAATTTGTGAGGCATATTTGTTAGAAACAGGTCTAAGATGGAGGACTTTTCAGGATGGTTTTTGTTTAATCTATTCGGAGAGTTGATCAGTTGGGTAAGATTGAGAGACAGTCAACATTCCTTGAATTTATCACAGAGGGGGGTCGACTTATCCCACTCAATGTTGAAATCTCCTGCCAAAAAGATCTCTCTGAATTTTAAATTTCCAAGGAATTCCATCAGGGAGGACAGAGCCTCAGGTGTTGCTGAAGGTGGATGATAACAACAGACTACAGATAAGATCTGGCTTCCATTCAAAGTAATGTTTACAGCAAAGGTATCAAACTGGTTTGGAATTGTTTTAGAAGACACAAGACTAGCAACCAGAGAATATCTGATGTAAACAGCACCCCCCCTTTTTTTTACGATCACAGCGGTAGATGTTAAATCCATTGATTGCCAGGTCATTATTCAGTGCAGATTTGTTGAGCCAGGTTTCAGAGATCAAGATTACATCTGCCCCAGAAGAAATGACCAGAATTTTCAAGGCATCAAGTTTTCTCAGAAGGCTACGTGCGTTTACATGAAGAAAATGAAGTCCAGACACGTTTTTAAAGTCATTTAGTGTCATATAAATAGTGGGGGGTCCAGGGTTGGGCTGAATCCCTGAGAGCAGTAACAGCATTATTATCAGACATTTTCTTGAGTTTTTTTGTGACTGATGTGTAATTATAGGAGTTAACGAGTTGTTTGAATGAAAATTTGTACTCCTTTTTCTTTTAGCCATCCTATTTGTAAAAAAACAAACAAACAAAAAACTGCAGTAGGACTTTTTATAATTGTTTATTGTTGTTGCTGTTATCCATTGTTGTCTTTTTTTTTGTTGAAATTAGGTCTCTCTTGTAAATGAGTCCTTGAGGCTCAATGGGATTACCTGTCTAAATAAAGGTTGAATGAAATTGTACAGGAGTTAACAGTGTGACAATTAGCCCCATAATCAAACCATGAGAAACATTAATGAAGACGCGATCATTCAGAACCCAAAAACAGTGAAAGTTGCAGTGATGGACAGATCCAGGTGTATTAACATGATTCAGTCACTCCAGCTAGTCTGAGATCTGAAAATAATGACAAAAATATGAATGGTGCAGAAAAGTCTTTGACCATAAAACGTCACAAATCAAATGGGCAAACAAACCCGACGAGGTGGCCCAACTGCATTTTGAGTTGGGCTGAGGGGGGCTCCGGCCCCCCTGTGAAGATGGATAGATGCTCCAATGGGAAACAGATGCTGGGTCCAGAACCAACAGGCAGAAACAGAAACAGATAATTTGTAGCAAATAGCAGAGCAAGCTATCAGAAAATCCTCCTGAAGTGAAAGGCATGGTCCTAGCTCGTTTCAGGCCAACAGGGGACAACAGCGTGATCTGGAATAAAAATAATTATTATCCAGGTGAGTTTGGATGGAGGCCTGCAGCAACTCCGATGCAAACTCCGAACTTCTCTCGAGTACTATGCAGCACTGCTCCTCCACGCTGCTCCTCCATGCTACTCCTCCACGCTGCTCCTCCGCTTCTCTGCACGACACCTCCCCACCCAACAGCACGAGTAGCACCCCCGGTGAAAAATGAGACTGACCGGAGAGGCTGAAGCCATCACTGATCCGGTCCGGTTCTGCTCCAGTCTGGCTCCGGCACTTCACAGCTCGAGAGAAGAAGAGGCTGAAGTTGTCCCTGGCCCGGTTCTGCTCCGGTCCGGTTCCGGCGGTGCTTAAAAGAATCGGAGCATCTCCTCCAGACGAACACAGCGACTCCATGGAGGTGGACAGTCCTTCATTAAAATTAATGGGCTGCTCACTGAAGCTGAGACCGGCTCTGTTGAAGATGAAGTCCCCCACAGCCAACTTGGTTCGGTTCTGGTCCAGTTCGGGGGACACAAGGACACTTCCCCCACACCAATGAAGACACCACGAGGGCCAGTCCAGCAGAAAACCAGCGAAATACCACCCGGTGAATCTTGTCGGAACCAGGTAGAACCACAAAGGTCCAGATGAGAAGTTTGTTGAGAAGTTTGTTTTTGTTGGGGTCCAGAGAGAGAGAGAAAAAACACCGGACCTTCATGCGACGACTCCCCAGCTCGAGGGGTCACCTGGCCGGCAGGGTGTGCTCAGAGTTACCGGTGGGGTGGGAGCGGCCGGTCCTGGACCAAAATATATTTTTGGATGGTCCCATCCGGCTCTCTGAGTCACTGAACACCGAATTCATTTGGAAGGGGATCAACTTTAGTCCGGTTCGAAAAAATGGGTCAGTTTGATGATAAAAGATTGCAGAGAAGCCGGAGGGAGCTCGCTGGAAGTGATCTTGATCTAAACCTACCCATCAGTTCCTCATCCTCTCTGTTTCCTTCACCAATATGTTCATTCAGGTTTGCTCCGATCACCACTCTCTAGCCCCTAGGAATACTCTGGCAGTTCATCTGGTTTCTTTCAGAATTTCTATTTATTCTCTACCTCACATCTAACCTGTGGAGCATAACCACTGACAACATTCAACATCAGACCTTCTACTTCTACCTTCATATTCTTCATTCTGTCTCACAATATTTTAATTTCTTGCAAACTCCTTCTTCAGGACCACCCCTACTTCATTGTTCTTTCTATCCACACCATGATAAAACAGTTGAAATTCTGCCCCAATGCTGCAAGACTTGTTGACCTTCCATCTGGTCTCTTGCACTCTCAATGCATCTACCTTCCTTCTCTGTATCATGCTAGTCAGCTCTCTACCTTTGCCTATCATTGTGCCTACATTCAGAGCTTCTATCCTCAGTCCTACACCCTTGACTTTCCTCTGTCTCCTGACACGTTTCCTTCCTTGTGGTCTTCAACAAACAGTAGTACACTTTCTACTGATACCCTGTTTATCAACAGCCTCGATAGTGGTTGTTGTTAACCCGGACCTCAACTGATCCAGTATGGTGTTGCTTGGATGAACTCGCATATTAGTTTTGACACAAGTGTTTCATGCCGGATGCCGTTCCTGACGCAACCCTCACTATTTACCTGGGTAACACAAGAGATAAACTGGCTTGTGCTACCAAGTGGCTTTTGTAAGAAACTATATGGTGTTTTTAAAATGCATTTTGTCTTATGTAGTGGAAATCTGTGATTTCTGCCATTTCTCTTTAGACACTTGGATTCACATTTAATATGAATTTTCTTAAAATCAGACACTCAAACATTCTTCGATTAACTGGTTCTTTTAATAAATAGTATAATCATCTCAAGAAGACCAGAAAATGTTTTTAGAATTTTGTGTACATTTTCAGGACAAACTAAACAACAAAGTTGACAGAAGTACATTATACACACTCAGATATTACATTCTAGTTTGTATAGGAGACAGAAAGTTAATGCAAACATAAAGTCCACATGCCAAAAAAATTATCTGACAAGGAAAACTTGAAGGGACAAGAGTACTGAGGCTTACCAGAGGTTCCTTAGTCCATAAAGCCCCCATACCTTTTCTGTAACACATTACTACCCTCCCAAGCTCTTTTCAGTGCCCCCCCACTTTTGCTTCCATTCACCAGCCACTCAGGTCTCCCTACACGCCTCATAAAGCCTCCATATCTTTTCTTGAGCCCACGGCCCAACACTTCATCCAGCAGATTGCCCAATGCTGTGTCTCCATGCATCTCTGCATTACTGCCATGTTCTCTGGCAGAAGTGATGATGTTTAGGATTCTGAGGCGGATGTTTTCTTCCTCATCCTGGTTACCCAGATCATTCTTTGTCTCCGGGGGAGCAGAGGAGCGACGGGACATAAAACCTCCATAGCGTTTCATGATGCCACCATACTTCTCGACAATCTGACGTTCAGATGATGCTGCAGCCTCATTGGACATCATGGTACCCACTGCTTCCTGTTCCTGCTGTTGATGGGAGTCAGCATCTAGAGAAATGCTGTTATCTTCCTCGAACAGTAAGTCCTGGCATATGTGCAGTTTCTGGAGATCCAAGGTACCCTTGCACTCAAGTGAACATGTCTGGGGAAAAATAAATAAATAAATAATCAGTCCTATTAAATAATACTTTTCAAGTTAATTTTTCTATTTTTCCAAGTAAGAATTGCAATTTTTCCATTTTTCATTTTCAGCTGCAACTGTCACTTTATTGGATGTTAGAGCCAAGGAATGCAGACTGACCCAGGGAGCTCAAAAATATATCTGACAATTTTATTATTCAAATATCAAAAAGATTGACGTGGCAACAAAAGAACATGATATAAAATGTAGAGGAGAACCCAGAGGAGAGCTGGACATGGTGCAAGCACACACAATGCCAAAGTCATGAGTGAATGGAAACAAGAGGGAATGAATGGACTGGAGATGAATGAGCTTAATGAAACAAGGGACAGGGGAGAGTAGGCATGACAGGACTGAGGAGTCAAGAACTTAACGGAGAATGAATTGACTGACAACACGGGTACACAGATAGGGAAATGAACAAATCAAATACAATATAATACACATAAAAACATAAAACAAAATCAAATCAGAAGAAACAAGAGTACCACATACAGCACAACATACATCCATCAACAAACTAATATACAGTAATCTAGCAATCAATAGCAATGATGCGAATAAACAAAGCCCTGGTAAAAATGTTTGACCTTGATGTGATGAAAAGATTATGCAACACATTGTCTAGTGGTGATACAAATGTTTATCCATCCATCCATCTATTATCTTTTACCCGCTTCTTCCATTTTGGGTCTCAGGGGTCACAGGTGCTCATGTCCAGCAATCACTGTGCGAGGGGCGGGGTACACCCTGGAAAGGTCGCAAGTCCATCACAGGGACACAGAGACAAATGAGACAAACAAACATTCACTCTCTCATTCTCACCTAGGGACAATTTAGAGTTATCAATCAGCCTAACATGCATGTTTTTGGTCTGTGGGAGGAAACCGGAGTACCCAGAGAAAACCCACGCATGCACGGAGAGAATATGCATACTCCACCCAGAAAGGCCCCTGGTCCGGGATTTAAACCAGGGACCTGCTCGCTGAGAGGCAGCAGCTCTACCAGTTGTGCCACCATGCTGCCCAAATGTATATCAAGTTTCATTAAATTATGTTGAGCAAATCAGAAATTATGGCCTGGACAAGCAAAGACCTTGTATAACATTTGACCTTGATTTGCAATGTTGACTTTGAGGTAGATATGACAAAAAGATTACTTGACACACCATTTGTGCTGATACAAATTCATAACAAGTTTTATTAAATAATCTTAAGCTGACCCGAAGTTGGACTTGCGACCTGTCCAGGGTGTACACCGCCACTCGCACAATGATTGCCGGACATGGGCACCGGCGACCCCCATAACCCAAAATGGAAGAAGCGGGTAAAAGATAATGGATGGACGGATGACCCGAAGTTTTTACCTGGACAAGCAAAGACCTTGTTTTAACTTAGACCTTGATTTGTGACCTTGACTTTGTAGTTGGCGTGAGTAAAGGTAGATGTGAAACTCCATCTAATGATGATGTATATGAATACAGTAGTCCCTCGTTTATCACGGGGATTACGTTCCCAGCCCCCCTCCCACGATAATGAAAAATTGTGAAGTAGGGATAGTAGTACAAGTAGTGGTAGTAAGTAGTAGTTTAT